CACTGGATTTCCTGTCCTTGATGCGCGTTTCTGTGCGAGTCCGCAACCCTCGCGGTTTGTGTTTCCCCCACACACACACACGCCGCCGCCTCCCCCCTCCCTCCCCTTCCTTGCCGGGAGAGAGAGAAAGAAAGAAAGAGAGGGAGAGAGAGAGAGAGAGAGTCGCCCTTGCCTCCAGCCGGGACAAGAGCGCTCTGTGACACCCTTCGCCGGACCAAACCCAGGTCCGCCCCGGCGCTTCCTTGGCAGCTGCAGGTTGTTGTCGCTGCCCTTTCCCTGCCCCGGCGGCTTTCCTCTGCCCTGCCTCAAACAAGGTAAGGGGGGGGGAGCTTTTTGGCGGGGCGGTGTGTGTGTGTGTGTGTGTGTGTGTGTCGTGAGGGGCGGCGGTGGAAGGTGCTTGGCGAGGCAGCGGCGCCCGCCTCTCCCTCTCCCTCGCCTGGCTCTGCCGACGGCCTTCCGGGGGAGCCTGGCTTGGCTTCTGGTGGACCCGTGAACTTTTTCCTCCTGGTGAGCGACTCTGACCGTTATTTGAGAGCCTGGTCTATCTGGGCAGAAGGAGGAGATACGTTGGCTCTGGAAACTGCCAATGTGGGAAGAAGAAGAGTAGTGGAGTCGGATAACCCAAGGTAGTTGCTCCTCAGACCCTTTGCCCAGTTGATCCAAGCTGGTATAGCCCTGCTTTGTTTGTTTGTTTTGTTTGTTTATTTATTTAAATAAAAGAGCACAGACAGAGTTCCTCTGAAGATGCTGCCCACAGAGACTGGCCAAACGTTAGGAAGAACAACCTTCCAAACAGGGCCTAAGAGCCCAAAAAACCCACAGCAACCCTATTTATTTATTTATTTATTTATTTATTTATTTATTTATTTATTTATTTATTTATTTATTTATTTATTTATTTATTTAAAATGCTTCTGCCCTGCCTTTCTCCCCCAAAGGAGCCAAGGCAGCATAGATCATTAAAGCAGTATTTAAAAGTTAAAAACGGTAAGTATGCCGATATTAAAAAAAAGAATTAAACAATTATTACGCTAAAATGATAACTAAGATTAATATTAGAACACATTTAAAACAATAGAGCACGACAATCCATTTAAAACCTCTCTCAGACCACCTGTCCTTAAGGAAAAGCCTTAAAGCTTGTAGCACCGAGCAGGTCATTTCAACTAAAACAGTCTCATTGCTTTAATAATAGAATCATAGAATAGAATCATAGAATCACAGAGTTGGAAGAGACCACCGGGCCCATTGAGTCCAACCCTCCACCATGCAGGAACTTCATCAAAGCACTCCCGACAGATGGCCATCCAGCCTCCGCTTAAAAGCCTCCAAAGAAGGAGACTCCACCACACTCCGAGGCAGGATATTCCACTGCTGACCAGCTCTGTCTGTCAGGAAGTTCTTCCTGAGTTTTAGGTGGAATCTCTTTTCCTGTACTTTGAAACCATTGCTCCTTGTCCTAGTGTCTGGAGCTGTGGAAAACAAACCTGTCCCTTCTTTGACATGACATCCCTTCAGATATTTAAACATGGTTATCATGTCTCCTCTTAACCTTCTTTTTGTAAGGCTAAACATTCCCAGCTCCCTAAGTCACTCCTCATAGGACATGGCTTCCAGACCTTTGATCATTTTGGTCATCCTCCTCTGGAGTCGTTCCAGGTTGTCAACATTCTTCTTGAATTGAGGTGTCCAGAACTGGACACAATACTCCAGGTGAGGTCTGACCAAAGCAGAATAGAGTGGTCCTATCACTTCCCTTGATCTACTGTGTTTCCCCGAAAATAAGACAGGGTCTTATATTAATTTTTGCTCCAAAAATGCATTAGGGCTTATTTTCAGGGGATGTTTTATTTTTTTCATGTACAACAATCTACATTTATTCAAATACAGCCATGTCATCTTCTGGTTGCTGCACAATGATGGTTTCACTTAATTAGGACTTTTTTTGGGGGGGGGAAGGGCTTGTATTATGAGCATCCTGAAAAATCATACAAGGGCTTATTTTCAGGTTAGATCTTATTTTTGGGAAAACAGGGTAGACACTATACTCCTGTTGATGCAACCAAGAATTGCATTTCTTCGTTGCATCATAATACCTAGAACAGTAATTGATTTGTGTATTTGACCTTACCATTACCTATTACCAGAGTGAATACTACAGTTGTAATTTTCTGAATATCATGCCTTTTTGTCCCACACCCCTTAACCAGTCTCCAAAGCCCGCGGCTGAGATATTATGCTCCGTGGGTCTAAAGAAGTTGGCTAGATCAATGAGAACTCAGGCCAAGTAACATTTATATTACATCTCAGGGGGCTCAGAATAGCCTACAGTCAGACTTGGGGCACAGCAGAACAGCATCCATTGGACCACAGTAGATTATTTACTCCTGAATCCTGTGCAGTGTCCAGGATTAAATGTTTGATAGCTTCTTTTAAAAAAAGCAATCAGTGTCCGAGTTTGCGCTTAAAGCACCAACCTGACTTCCAAAAAAGCCCCCTTGGTAGTATGATTGGGACTCTTATGGTACTTCACAGATTTTTTCCCCAAAGATGGCAATTCTTGTACAGATGCCCATTTTTGTAATTCCATCATTTTTGTCTCTTCTTTTGTTGCTTTCAGTCCATTAGATAAAAGCCTCTATTGGCTTTTTTGAATGCATCTTTTTTTATATTCTAACATTTTGGCATGCATGGGATCTCAGCAAGGGCACCATCTCTAAAATGTGTGCTCTTTAAATCAATAGTTTTGATTTACCCCCATGCTACATTGCCTTCTGCTGCCCACATCTCTCCTCTAGTTATTAGCCTGTTGACTATTCCATTAATGGAGCCATGAATATTGTGATCAATAAAGGGATAACATCAAAGCACTGAAAAGCTGGCACCCTGAGGAGAGGTGCAGTGACCGATTAAGAAAGTTCAACAATATTTTGAAATTAAACAAAAGCTATAATGAAATCCAGACTTTTAATGCCAGAAGTTTTAGGGTTTTTTTTTTCATCCATCTATAAAAATTGTTCATTCAAACAGGTAGGAAAATAGCTTGCTGAATTCTTTTGTCCTTTTTTCAGCTCTTGTAGCTGTTTAGTAGAGGTTTACTTATTGTGATTATTACCTTTATTTATTGTATAATGTGGAATAAACCAATACTGAAAAATGGATAGCTCCCATTTATAAGATTTCAGCTGTAACTGGGAGTAAGCTCTACTGAATGGAGTGGGATTTACTTCTGAAAAAAATATGTTTAGGATTGTTCTAGTAAGCAACAAGGTCAGGAACATAATGAGCACAAATTAAATAATGAAGAGTAATAAAGGATTTGTAGTAACCGTTAAAGCATATGTTAAAGCCAAGTAGTATCCTTCAGACTTTTGAAACCATGCAAAAAAGTCTTGTTTTTATTTTTTAAGGCAAGGTATTAATTATTGCTGGGAGATTTTCTACTTCAGCATTCTGCAATCAGGGACACCAGTTACAGTGTACGTTCTTTGTAACAAGGGCAAATAAATGATATAGTAGCTGACTTTTACAGCTGCTTGTGATACAGTATAATTTTAACTTTCTAAATTTATAACAGATGTTTTGACTACCTAGTGCGATGCATCCCTCTTTTTTTATCTTATGACCAGGATTTTACAGTAGGCTTTCACTGCCGTTGCCTTTTTGGCAGTTGCAAACATTTTATTGCTGTTGTTCATCTTATGGCTTTGCTCAAAATGTTTCTTTCTTTCCAGAGTTATCTAAAACAAACAAACAAGCAAATAGAAACAGAAGGACTGAGTATAGCTAGTTCACTAAAGCAAACTTGGCCAGACCTCATCAGCCCAGGTGCATTTCTAAGAACAAGGAGTTTCACTATGGTCACGTGGCTTTAATAAGGTTGGGGTGATTTTGAGATTTGGTGGATGGTAGTATAAGGTAAAGGTAAAGGTTCCCGTTGACAATTTTTGTCCAGTCGTGTTCGACTCTAGGGGGCGGTGCTCATCCCTGTTTCCAAGCCATAGAGCCAGCGTTTTGTCCGAAGACAATCTTCCGTAGTCACATGGCCAGTGCGACTTAGACACGGAATGCTGTTACCTTCCCACCGAGGTGGTCCCTATTTATCTACTCACATTTGCATGCTTTTGAACCGCTAAGTTGGCAGGAGCTGGGACAAGCGATGGGTGCTCACTCCGTCACGTGGATTCGATCTTACGACTGCTTGGTCTTCTGACCCTGCAGCACAGGCTTCTGCGGTTTAGGCCACAGCGCCACCACGTCCCTCATGGATGGTAGTATAAATTTCTCACTGATTCGATGGACTACTCTATTTGAAGTTAACAATTAGATTTTAAGCCTAAGGATGGTAGTATACTTAGGCTTAAAATCTAATTGTTAACTTCAAATAGAGTAGTCCATCAAATCAGTGAGAAATTGGTAAGTCAACCCCTGTGTTTTATTCCATTGATTCAATCAATCTCTGATAGTTTAAACTAACATTGGAAAGTGGCTTGGACCAGATCTGATTATTTGTCCATCTGGCCCAGTATTGTCCATTGAGACTAAAGGTGGCTCTTTAAGGTCTCAGGCAGAGGTCTTTTCAACCACTTGATCCTTTTGTCTGTGTGATTTTTCACATGCAAAGTACACACTTGATCACTTAAGTCCTTCAGATTCTACACTCTCCCAAGTAGCTTTAACCAAGATTTATGTTTGCACCTTGCAGGTGCATGCTGTGATCATGGCAATGCATTTATTTTATTAATAGAGCAATAATGAGTGCATGTTTTATGCAGCAATAATCTTTTCTCTGGCCAAGTGCTTAGTGAAGGGCTTATGCAATCTGTTTCATCACAACTTCACATAAAATGTTTTCTGTTCTATGCATGAGAATCAGTCCTGGCTGCCACTTGGTACACTGCTGCATATGACGATTGCAACATCAGGTGAAAGATGCAGGTGGCAGCTAGCAAAATTCAGAAAGAAATATACAGCATGTCATTGGCAATCTTGTCAATCACTCTGGATCCCTATCTATGTTCATTTAGTTGCAGCAAATCATACTGAAAAACAGAAAGTATGTGGACCAACAATCTAGGAAACATGATGCTAATCAAATGTAGACATGACTTGTGCCTAGGTAGCCAGCTGTTGGAAGAGTGTAAAAATTGCTTTCATCTTTCTAAAGAAATAGTGTCCTATTAGTGTCGTTTGGCAGAACTGTACCTTGCAACGGAAACTGATCTGCACCATCAGTATTTAATGCATTTCAGGTGTGTAGTTTCTTGGAGTGGTTCTCAACCAGTGGTGTGCATAACTCTGGTGGGGCACAGAA